GGCCTTCAAGCTGGTTTTGATGGCGGTGTTTCCAGCTACATCATTTGTGGGGAGCGCGGGATCGGCTGCTGCTTTAACGGGGTTGCGGTGGCGTCGGGGCGCCGGGCCTTGGTCGGCCCTTGTTGGGGGGTGGTGGGTGGGCCTTGGGGCAGCCTGCCCTGGGGTTTGCCCGCTGACCTTCGGTTGGGGCCGGGCAGGGGTCGGCGTCCTGGTGGTGCTGGGGCCCCTGCGGTCGGGCTGGGCCCTAGTTTGGTATAAACTGTTTTCTGTAATTTGTCCTTGTCTCTGCCATTTGTATATATTTGCGCCTTGTACTTTGTGCTTCTCGTAAATAAACCACTCTTTCCAGTGTCTGTTCTTATCAGCTTAATATCTGATATGGGCCTAATTGGTCCAAGATATTAAACTTATTTTTGCACGCGGTGTTCCTCCGAAGCTTGCTTCGAGGACTCCAGGGTGGCCCGGTATTGCACTACCTCCGGGAGTGGCCCGTCCCCTCTGGGGGAAAATAATAAAATACAAAATCAGGTCATATCTTGAGTATCGCTCGCTAGGACTGCGCTCCACCAGGAGAAGTCCAGTCCCCAGGACATACACGTAAAGTCCCTCGATGCTTTTTCAACGAAAAAATATCCAAGGACGTTACAAACACGAACTCAACTCTGTGACGTCACGGCGCGGTGGTGGCGCGTCGGTCGCACTTTCGGTCTGGGGCTGCGGGCAAAAGTGCCCATTCCATACGTGTATTCCTGCGTTTTTTTGAAAGGAACCAGACGAAAATCTGCCTTCGCGTCAAAATGCCGCGACTAGGGCCGTACCAAAAGTGTCGAGAAAGGTTTGAAGGTCAGTTTTCACGTGCTCGGTTCGTCCGAGAATCTGGATATGTGCCGTGAAAAGGGAAAAGCAGACGCCGTCGGACAGCGAATGCTTGGGCTCGAAGCACTTTGGTTTGATTTCACGGATACTTGTAGTCATCAGATTTATTTGTTTTGCTCCAAAAATGAACGCCGGAAAACCGTCAAGTTATGCGGACCACCCGCGGACTACGTTCAGTGCGTCTTCAAGTTCAAACGGCCGCCTGATCGTTCGAACTGTCGTCTGCTCTTTCAAACGTTTCTGATTGTCGTCTGCTCACTTAGACGACGCCGGCCTGTAGACCAAATGTTGGCCCGGTACATGCGACAAGAAGTAAGTGTAGGCCTCAAAAGACTTACATTTGAAGGTTGGTAAGCAGGCTCGATGTAAACAGTAGATACAAGGAGATGTTGATCATTGTTACCAGTGACCGCCATGACCGACTTGTTATCCCTAATTCAGTTGGTCCGATTCTGCTTGCGATTTTCAATATCGACGTTGACCATCTCAGCTACAGTTCACGCTTTTCCAGCCCGAGCGGCGTCGCGACTGAACATTGCGAGCGAAATTGCATCATGCGAATCAGGGGGGCTAAGTTGCACGTTTTGGACTCCCAGGAGACTAGGGAGAAGGAAGTGACGTAGGTGTGAATGGACGTATCTTACCAGCACCACGCAACGCGTCATCAGCGACTCCACCAATCAACATCCAAAGAGCGTTGTTGACGTCACTTCCTTCTCCCTAGTCTCCTGGGAGTCCAAAACGTGCAACATAGCCCCCCGGGCTTTAGCGTACATACTGCGGCGTCCACGCGGAATGAATCGCCACATGTCACATTATTCACGCGAAGTTTTGTGGTGTAACGAGCCTCGGTAATTTCGCTGACGCCGCTCAAATAGTCAGACATCGCCAGATAGAACTAGCTGGGTGGTAGTAAGATTATGGCCTAGAATATTGTTCTTTGTTCGTTCGAATATATCGAGAAGGGTATGATATTAAGCTACGAGGTACTCGTAATTGTGGGAAGCTTATTGTAGGTGGGGCAAAAGGGGCTGCATACAGCAGTATCGCTTCTCGGCCTTTTGGCTAAGATCAAGTGTAGATCAGTAAGATCAACCTAAGATCAAAATATGCTGCATACAGCAGCATCGCTTCTCGGCCCTTTACGGCTCTGATCGAATTGTAGTACCTGCCTCCTGGACCTGCCTCCTGGACCTGCCTCCGGGACCTACCTCTGGGACCTGCCTCCAGGACCTGCCTCTGGAACCTGCCTCCGGGACCTGCCTCCGGGACCTGCCTCCGGGACCTGCCTCTGGGACCTGCCTCTGGGACCTGCCTCTGGGACCTGCCTCTGGGACCTGCCTCTGGGACCTGCCTCTGGGACCTGCCTCCGGGACCTGCCTCTGGGACCTGCCTCCGGGACCTGCCTCTGGGACCTGCCTCTGGGACCCGCCTCTGGGACCTGCTTCTGGGACCTGCCTCCGGGACCTGCGTCCGGGACCTGCCTCCGGGTCCTGCCTCTGGGACCTGCCTCCAGGACCTGCTTCCGGGACCTGCCTCTGGGACCTGCCTCTGGGACCTGCCTCCGGGACCTGCCTCTGGGACCTGCCTCCGGGACCTGCCTCCGGGACCTGCCTCTGGGACCTGTTTCTGGGACTTGCCTCTGGGACCTGCCTCTGGGACCTGCCTCTGGGACCTGCCTCTGGGACCTGCCTCCGGGACTTGCCTCCGGGACCTGCCTCTGGGACCTGCCTCCGGGACCTGCCTCTGGGACCTGCCTCTGGAACCTGCCTCCGGGACCTGCCTCCGGGACCTGCCTCTGGGACCTGCCTCCGGGACCTGCCTCTGGGACCTGCCTCTGGGACCTGACTCTGGGACCTGCCTCTGGGACCTACCTCTGGGACCTGCCTCCGGGACCTGCCTCCGGGATCTATCTGGCCGACCAGGAGCTGGATGGGGGACCCACCCCACCATGGCAGAGCCTTCAGCCTCCCCTGCCGGCCCTGCAGGTCGAAGGAGTGGCATACCGATTCGGACGCCGCCCACTGTGGCGCCAGCTGGCAGAAGCCCAACTGTAGGACGGCAGCCGTGGAGGGAGGCAGACACCCTTGGCATCTCCTTCCCAACACCACATATGTTTAGATGCACAGAAGAGGGGTGCTCTTCTGCCTACTCCGCGGCTGCCTGGACAAGCAGGCGACAGTCCCTGCAACGGCACTTGGAGGGCGACCATGGCGTGCGGATACGCCGAACGACCAATCACTGCGCACTCTGCTCAGTTACGTTGGGAGCCCGGCCGTCCGCGCACCCATGTCTCGCCAACGGCAACCACACTGCTGCACCGACCCAACAGCGTCACCAATGTCCGGAATGTCCTGCCTCCTTTCCGTCCAGGAAGGGTCTGGGCAATCACCGCCAGTGGCACCGCAAACAGCGGGCCGGTCGGCAGGCCCTTGTTGACCTCGGGGTCTCTGCCAGCCATGGAGACACTACTAGCGGTGTGAGCCACGGCCGACCCGCTACCGTGGCATCCTGTCGACCTGCCGGCCCATGTGAGACAGTGCGGCGCACCCCGTCCAGCGCCAGCCGCACACGAGCCAGCTACGCAAGCACGTCAGCCCCTGTGGGGTCAACTGTGGAGCCGCCGGACATGCAGCTCACACCCATGGCATTGCCGAGCCCCAACCCGCAGCTACCACCAGAGGCCGAGGTTCCACTTGGAGAATCGACCCGGGACACCACCCCAACCCAGAGCACACCAAAAGACCGGGACACCTTTGACACATTACTGTGTCTCACCGCCGACGATCCCGCCAAGGACGGCAGTGACACCAAAGCTGCCGAAGCTGCTCACGAGGAGGCCCCCTCGCGGAGACTGGACGACGCACTGCGCCCGCTGCTCAAGCGCACGCTGTACTTGCCAAGCAACGCCTGCAACGAATACCTGTATGGGAGCGCGGCGGCAGGTGCGGCGGGCATACCTGTAGCGGCGGACACAAGCGACGCCTGCCGAGTCGACGGAGCCTTCAAGCTCCTCTCCTCCGCCGACGCCGAGATCCGCGACATGGCCCTCCGAGCCGTGACCCAGGTGGTGTCAAAACACCTACGGCGGGTTGCAGCTGCAGAGGACGTCTGAGGTACCTGACCGGGGAGACCGAGGGCGACTTCCGGGCCACCTCAACGCAGGTCCAGTCTGTGTGGACCGAGGCCCGAAAGGCTTCCCACCGCCTTGAAGTGGGGTGGGAGCTGCAGCCCGACGGTGCCCGAATCACTTGCGGAGACGTCTCGGTCTCCGCCAAACATCGCCACAGGGTGATCCGGACCCTCCGACTCATCCTGACAACAGCACGGGACACGGCCCTCCAGCAGAAGCCCAACCAGGGCAAGGTGATGGAGTGTGTCGCCTCTGACCCAACCAGTTCCCACTGCATGAGGTCAGGGCGGCACACTCGGTTCGCCGACTGGAGGTTTGTGCACCGTGCCCGGCTGAACCAGCTTCCCTTGAACGGCGCACGCCCGTGGGCCGGAGCTGCCGACCAGCGGTGCAGAGCCTGCGGCTACCCCCGGGAGACGCTGCCACACGTCCTCTGCCACTGCATGGTGCAGAGCCGGGCCCTCACGGACAGGCATGACCAAGTGGTGAGCCGTATCAGGGCTGCAGCCGCTGGCCGGTTCACCATAACTCATGAGAACCAGCCCGTCGGCGGCACAAGCCTGCGACCTGACCTGGTGCTCGTCCGGGGTGAAGAGGCCCTCATCATCGACGTCCGCTGCCCCTTCGAGAACCGTCGTGCCGCACTGGAGGAAGCTCGCCTACAGAAGATCACCAAGTACGAGCCCGTGCGTCAGCTTCTACTGCGGCGGTTCCAGAGGGTGGCAGTGGAAGCCGTGGTGGTGGGGGCGCTCGGGTCGTGGGACCCTGCTAACGACCGAGTCATGCGTCGCCTGTGTAGCAAACCACATGCACGGACCCTGAAGAGACTGATAGTCAGCGAGACTATAGCAAAATCGAGAGACATGTACGTAAAACACGTCGGGAAGTGAGGACCATCAATTTCCACACGTCTTCCCCCTCCCCTTTTTTTTCATTTACTGTTTTTGAATGTTACAGCTTATTTAATGCAATGAACAAGTGTTAGAGATGTAATTTTTTATGTAACAAGCATAAACAAAAATCTGTTCTTATCAGCTTAATATCTGATATGGGCCTAATTGGTCCAAGATATTAAACTTATTTTTGCACGCGGTGTTCCTCCGAAGCAGAGCTGGCAGTAATGTAATTACTGTAATGAAATTACAGTAATTTAAGTACTTGTTCCAGTAATTAGTAATGTAATTCATTACTTTTTGTAGCAGGTAATTTAGTAATGTAATGAATTACTCCAGCGACGGTAATTGTAATTAAATTACCTAATTACTTTTTCGCACCAGGCATATTTTTTGTGTCCACAATACAAAGAGCGCTTTTATTTTTATTTTACTTTTTATTTTTTCCTCTACACTTTTCCAAAAAACGCTCTTTGGCAGCCGCCATGTTATTGATGCTAATGCGGCTGGTGCGACTCTCGCGCCCGCTATCAGCTAGACATTTTCTGCCATTCTCTTAAACTGTGAAAACCCGCTCACGCGCGATTCTCTACCTATGTTTTGCGGTTTTGCATTCGACGTTTTCTGGCCCCTCTTGAAAGTTTCCGCTTACTCTTTCTGATGCATGCTGCGTACCCTCTCTGTGTTATCGTCCACTGTGAGAAATAGGGCTGGTAAGTTTCTGCCATTCGAGCTTTTCTGCTCGACATTCTCGGGAAACGAAGGAGGGGAAGTAGATCGAACTAATGCCCCTGGTGGAACGGCCCTCGACGCGATTTGGCGAACAATGACAATTGTTCTCCCCCTCCCAGAGATAATCCGCGTAGGGTCCTCAGTCATTTCCAAAAATAGTTGTCCGGGTTGGGGTGGGAAACGAATCAGTCGCGTGCGTTTCTCTGTCCATAGGTAAACATGTTATTTGTGAGCGTGAAAAATACATGCGTTTCGGTTATCTTCTGTTGTAAATTATTTTCGACAGCTAAACACTTTGTCGTTTGTCACGCGTCTAATCGAACGGCACCGTCAAAACTTACCGTAAAAAAAAATTACATTTTAGTTTTGAAGGAAAAATCCATCAATGTAACCCTGTTTGGCAGTCAATGTTTTCTAGTGGACCGCTGACTGTGCCTGCCTGAACGTCAAGCATGTCTGATTGCCAACAAGTTACTCTGACCTACAGTCAAACTCCAGTCAGACTCCGCTTGTCGGCTTTCTGATGGTTTCCTGGTGACAGTCGGCCGCCGCGAAATGCCATCAAGATGTCTTGGTGGCGATTCTGACTGTACATCGATTGTCTCTGACTGTACGTCAAAAAGCTTTGACGTGCAGACAGACGTACGGTCAAAGGACGTAAAGTTCGTTCGGATACCACTATTTTGTCAAATCTATGAATACAAAAAGTAATCTATGCACGAGAAAACGATTTTGGGACGTGAGCTCATAAAACCGCTGACGTTAGAGATATGACACGCAACCGACCGACAACCTTGATCAGAAGCCCGCCGAAGAGCCGAACACGACACTTCGCACTTCGCTTCGCCCATAGAGGCTTCGCCGAGCTTTCATGAACGATCGCTCTCGACTCGTTTTGTTTGCCCGCTCGCTCCAACCTGTCGATCCTGCCCGGGCTCTACAATGTCTTATGTTTTAGTAGAATTTCTACTCGACAAGACCCAGCCTGTTGTGAGTTCCGACAATTGAAGGGACTTTAGCGGTGTAGTTGAAGACGACAAGGTGTATAGGTCTACTGGGCCGGTGACGCGCGAACAAAAGGATCGCTCTACGACGCGAAAGTACTCTACATGGCAGGTGAGTAGAACTGAAGTACGGCGAGTGATGTACGAGTGCTTTGCATAACACGCTGACGACTTAACTGCATTTGTAGCCGAAGCATCTCGTATAAATCGAATAGTCAAATCCAGTTTCCAAAGAGGAGGCATAGCATAGTGGTTAAGATGTCCAATTTGTATGCAAGTGGTCGCGGGTTCGATGCGCGGCTTTTTTTTTAACATTTTGTTTTTTTGAGGCATTTGGCGATATTTATGAGTGCGTATAGCTTTACTCTTATATAAAAGCCGCCCTTGTTGATAAAATTCCCTTGGCAGTTGCAATCAGACGTCATCTGATGGACCATCAGATGACGTCTTATGGTCCATCACGTTCCACCAAGGCTGCTGACTGGTAGTCAGTGTCCCAAATTACGTACCTTGATGGAATTTTCAATAGCGGTCGCATTTGTTCTGTCGCGCGCGTACCCAACAAAAATAGTTTACTGCTTTTTTTTTTCAAATGTGGTACAGTGCTTCCCAATGTCCTCGGGAAAATACATGCACCATGAAACACAAAATGCAGAGGAAAACACGAGAATTTAGCCGCCAGCAGTGTTTGAAACTGAGCCTACACAGGCGCAGCCTGTGTAGGCGCAGGCTGTAAAAGTATACAAAAGTAATGTGAAAGTAATGTCATTACTTTTAAAAGTAATTTGTAATGGTAATGAATTACTTTCTGGCTGTGGTAATTTGTAATGTAATTTAATTACATTTCAGCAATTTTCAGCAAAGTAATTAGTAATGTAATTTAATTACAAAATATGAGTAATTTGGCCAGCTCTGCTCCGAAGCTTGCTTCGAGGATGCCAGGGTCGGCCCGGTATTGCACTACCTCCGGGAGTGGCCCGTCCCCCTCTGGGGGAAAATAATAAAATACAAAATCAGATATCTTCGAGTATCGCTCGCTAGGACTGCGCTCCAGCAGGCGAGGTCGAAAGGTGTCGCTACTGTGTGACCGAAATTGGAATCATCCAAAAGCGGGGTTACTTCGTGCGTCGTCTGCTAGGCTGCACGTGAAAGCATGCACGCCGAAGACAACGGCATGCTTGTGTTTTTGTGATACGCTGCATGAACCCCCGGAATCCTCCCATTGGGACTCTAATAGACCGATCTCACCGGCCAGTTTGGTTACGCCACCGCTGCCGCAATGCATCGAGGGAACTTCAGTCTTTCTTCCCGATGCCGTGCAACAACCTTGCTGGAGCTCTGCGCGTTTGGAGCACGAGGCGGCACGAGCCCTGGCACTGACGGTTGTCTTCCTCCCGTGTACTAAAGTTATGGCGGCGTCACGCATGCACCGAACGCTTAGTGAGATCGGTCTATTGTGCCGAATCTCCCCTTACGGGCGTTGGGTTTTTCCAAAACCAATAAAGAAATCAAACGAAAATACGGACGCCGCAGTCACGGCAATTTTTACTGCAAGGAAGAGGGTGTGGAGGAGATTTCTCCCTTATCTCTTTTTCCTCCCCTCCTGTCATCTCTCACCCTTTTTTTAAATGAAAAGCGGAGATGACGGACGAAAAAGGGGACAAACACAAAACGTCTAAAAAAACTGAGACGTTTAGTGTTTGTTCCCTTCTTCATCCCTTCGTCTCCGTTTTTTTTTTTTTTCTTTTCTTCAATGTGCAACATCATCCAGATTGCCTATTTCCTTACTCTTCCCTCGCGTGTTTCCCTTTTTCTGCAAATCTCCGACGCTTCCGAAACGCTTTCACTTGACTTTGTGTTACTCGATTGAGATCGGCTCGGCAACAGCCGTAACGGTGCATGCGCCGTGATAGCCAATTGAACTTCTTATTAAGTCGTGAGTCAATGAATGCAAAGGGCGCCCAACCGCCGCGTGCGACCTTTGTCTGAGCACAAGTTCAAACTTCTTTTGCAAGTTCTCTCTTTATTAGACACTCTTTATACAGAAAAAAATGTCAATTCACGGCACAACAATGAAAGGGACAAAATCTAGACGAAAGTGATTCAACCAGCACGTTACTCATCTAGATCGAAACGGGAAGGAGTGGGGATTGAACCCGGGATCCCTCGGTTCTGAGCGCATGCTTTCATTAACCTGGGACCTGGCTCCGGGACCTATCCGTGCGACCAGGAGTTGGCTAAGATCAAGTATCGCTGTCTCGCGCAGTTTACGTTCGCCCCGCTGTTGTGTCCCCGGGACCGCGTTTGTCGCAGTCCCGGGTCCCGGGGACGATACGGTTCTCAGCGATAAGCTGCAGCTCGACTCAGCACTTACCCTCGAGATCGCGGTGGCTGCCGCGCCAAACTCCGAAGCTGTCAAGCAACAACACAAAGAAATGCGAGGTACGCAAGGTCAACACGGCGCCGCCGTCGACGAACTGAGCCATAGCCTCCTCTATGCGGAGAAAGCCTGGCACGTCGCTAAAAAACGTGGCCGTCGAAAGTAGGAGAGGAGGGGCGGGGAATCGGGAGCGGAGGGAACCTTCTTTGCTAGCGCCACACAAGAGCGAGCGGACAAACGCAGAAACAGTTTTTTTTTTTTCGGAATTGCAGAGAGGAGAAACTTGGCGTCAACCCTTTCCCTTCGCCGTCCCTGCGCCGCAGCCGTTTCTCCCGGAGCACGAAAACAACGGTGACAAATACACGAAAACAAACGTGGTTCGGGGAGCGGCCGCTCACGACCCAAGCGCTCGCGGACTATCTCTGCCCTTTCTGCTCTGCGCTACCATATTGGTCGCCGCTTCGCGCGCTCCTCCTCTCCTTTTTTCTGCGGTCGCGCTCCCTATGGCTCTGCCGTCGATGTGCCAGGCTTTCTCCGTATAGAGGAGGCTATGACTGAGCTCCGCAAGTAAAAAAACAAACTTGAGCAAAAAAAAAACAACGTCGGAGGGCTCGTCCAGAAAAAAAAAAGACAACGAAGGTGTCCGCCAGCCATGCAGATGGTGTGGCAATGCTTCGGTTCATACGAAGACGACCTGTCCGGCATCCAGTCATTTATGCAGGTCGTGTGGAAAACAAGGCCACAACGCTTCCGTTTGCCTGTCTTCGAAACATCAAGAGATACGAAGCACTACCACAGCAGCTGGCCCAGCTCGCTCCACAGCGGAAGTGGAAGAGGTGTGCCTCCGCGAGCTTAAAGACTTTCGGCTCATGACGCTTGAAGAATCACCTCGTCAGTGAACGGAATCTCGATCACATTCAAGTTCGCTACGCGTGCCGACGTCACTGCTATCGCGCCGGGCGACTACAATTGCGAAGTGATGGGCCCTCTGCGAAAGCCAGAAAGAGCACTTCACGGTCTAGGTCATCCGAAGCTTTCGAACGCTGGACACTTCCAAGCTTCTATGGACTGGGGTGGTCAACAAGTTCAAGAGGATGTTTTCGTAGTTGAAGGCCTACAGGAAGCTCTCCTCGGAAGGCCGCCATCAAATTCCTCGTAGTTCTCCCAC